TCTCTTGACTTTTGCCACTACTCTTTTTCTCTGTTTCTTCATACACCGGCACCGGGGGCGGCGGCGGCGGCGGCGGAGGAGGAGGAGGCCGTGCAGGTGGTGGCTTGTAATAGTTGACCTTATAAAAATCGTTGCTTTCAGGGCTTTGATCTCTACTCTCTTCCTTCCGCTTCGGTTTACGCCTAATCTCCTCCTCCTCCTTTGGCGGCGACGGAGGCGGAGGTAGTGGAGGTGACGGCGGTGGCAGCGGAGCAGAAGGTTGAGAATCTTCTTTCGCACGGACTTCAAAAGTGTCAACTTCTATGTTCTTTGTTTGCAATTGAATTTCCTCTTCAGGTTCATTCCATGGCCGGCGACGGTACTGGAGTTGATGATGATGTTGATCGGAATCAGACGGGCGGTAATTCGCCACGTGCGTATCATCGTAGAACCGCCATTGTTCGTCCCTGCTCACCCACGAAGATTCCTGCCGTAGATCCGGGTACGAACTGCTGCTTCTCATCCTTCTGTAAATTCTAGAATTAAACGAATCCGATTGCGTCCGATCTGAATACTCATACCATTGATGCGGAGTTGATGGGTTTGACTTTTGACCACCCTCATTTGAGACCCTTTGATCGTCATGATTAGAACTCGTGTTCTCGGTGCTGTTTCTGCTGAGAAACCCGCAAACAATGGCGAAGAGAACCAGAACGAGATTAAGAGAGTCCCAGCTCTTCTTGACCGAATGGGGTCTGAATATTTGAGAAGTGAAGGAAAGAAATGACGGGATTATAACGAAAATGAATGCGAGAGCTGTGACGATCAAAGCTATGAGAACAGCGCCGGAGTTGAAGAGGAGGGAGGAGGAGCGGCTCAGCCGTCGCCGGCGATGGTCGGCTCGCCGGATAGAGTCTGAGGACTGTGGCCAAAAGGGTGTAAGAGAGTTCTCTTGATCTCCTTCCATTGTTTGTCGTTTTTCTTTTCTTGCTTTTTTGAAAATTGAGGGAGGGGAAATGAAAAAGAGAAATCAATCAAAGCTTTTTGGCGACACTTTTGGGTTTTGTTGCTCTTTTGCTTTCTTAGGTTTCGTGTGTTCGTACGCTGCTTCGCTTTGCTACGCTACGATGGTTTTGGTTTGGTTTAATTTTTTTTTT